AAAAAGAAAAATACCATATGGTATCACTGAGATGTGGAATCTAAAAGAAAAAAAAAAAGGACACCAATGAACTCATCTATAAAACAGAAACAGACTCGCAGACATAGCAAACAATCTTATGGTTACCAGAGGAAAGCGAGTGGGAAGAGATAAATTTGGGAGTTTGAGATTTGTAAATGTTAACCACTATATATAAAAACAGATTTAAAAAAACAAGTTTCTTCTGTACAGCAGAGGGAACTATATTCAATATCCTATAATAACCTTCAATGAAAAACAATATGAAAACGAATATATGTATGTATATGCGTGACTGGGACAGTATGCTGTACAGCAGTAATTGACACATTATAACTGACTATACTTCAATTTTTAAAAGCCCACTTTTCAACAAAAAAAATTACAAGGCACATGGGGGGAAAAAATGTGGGAAGTACACAGGGGGGAAAAATCTACTAATAGAAGCTGTCCCTGAGGAACCCCAGACGTTAGACTTACTAGACAAAGACTTTTAATGTGTCATTTGTGTTCAGAGAGCTAAAGGTACTGTGAAAATGTCTCACCTAACATAGAACATCAAGAAGAAACAGATGTTATAAAAATGAACACAACAGAAATTCTGGAATTCAAAACGGTAGTATTTGAAATAAAAAAATCACCAGAGGAGCTCTGGGCAGGCAGAGGAGTCTGTGAACATGGAGCTAGGTCAGCTGAGAATTTTGGTCTGAGGCACCAAACATAAAAAGAATGAAGAAAATGAATGCGCCCCAGTCTTGTGGGACACCATCAAATTGTAGCAACATATACACAGTAGGAATTCCAAAAGGAGGAGAGAGAAAAGGACAGAAAGAATATCTGAAGAGGTAATCACTGAAAACTTCCCAAATTTGATGAAAAACATTAACCTACACATCTAAAAAACTCAGTGAACTCCTAATAGGATAAACTCAGAGACCCACAAAGAGACACATTCTAATCAGGCTACCAAGAGACAAAGTCAAGGAGAAAACATTGAAAGCAGCAAAAGAAGGGACTTATTATGTATGAGGAATCGTCAATAAGATTCGCAGCTAATTTCTTATCAGAAACCATGGGGGCCAGAAGGACGACATATTCAAATTACAGTAAGAGAAACAAAAAACCCGTCAATCAAGAATTCTCTATCTGGCAAAATCATCCTTTAAAAATAAAGGAGAAATGTAGACATTCCCAGACAAGCAAAAACCGAGAGAACTCATAGCTCATACACCTGCTCTACAAGAAATGCAAAAGGGAGTCTTTCAAGGAGAAATGAAGGATACTAGACAGTAACTCAAATCCACACAGAGACATAAAAGACAACAGTGAAAGTAACTACAAAATATGAACATCAGTAACAATGTGTTTTGGTTTACAATTCCTATTTTTCCCTACATGGTTAAGTAGAAACATGCACACATCATGACACGTTAAACAGACTTACAGTGCTCATTCCACATGAAATACAAATATCAAATCATTGTGTTGTACACCTGAAACTAACAATGTCCTATGACAACTATACCTCATTTTTTAAAAAACTGCATAAAACAGTAATTATAAATCTATGTTGATGAGCACACAATGTATAAAGACAGAATTTTTGACAATAACCTCGTAGAGGGTAGTCATATAGCTGCAAATTTTTTGCATAGTAAATACCTATGTAACAGAAAAGGCCTTGGTGGAGAAACTGAAAAACAAAAAAGATACAAAATATAGAAAACAAATGACAAAATATCAGTAATTACAATGAATGTATTAAACTCCCCGATTAAAAGGCAGAGATTGGAGAAAAGATTGAAAAAACATCTGTGTACAAGATGCTGACTTTAGATTCAAAGACACAAATAGGCTGAAAGAACAAGAATGGAAGTAAACAGTAACTGAAAGACAGCGGGAATGGCCACACTACTCTCAGACAAAATAGATATTAAGTCAAAAACTGCTGGGGGACAAAGGACATTATATAGTGATAAAAGGATCAATCCATCAAGAAGACATAACAATTGCAAAGATATACGCACCTAAAAACAGAGCCTCAAAACACACAAAGCAAAAACTGACAGAAGTGAGAACATGGATGAACTCTGAAACACTGAAGCAGCCAGACACAAAGGCCACACAACGTGTGATTCCACTGACGTGAAACGTCCAGAACAGGCCAGTCCACAGACACACAGAGTGGGCACCTGGTTGCCAGGAGCTGGGGGAGGGGGGCTATATTGAATGGACATGGAGTTTCTTTTTCTGTGATGAAAATATTCTAGAATAACATTAGGAGGTTGGATGCACAACATTGTGAATGTGCCAAAAATCAATGAATGGTACACATTAAGACGGTTAAGCTGGTGGATCTTACGCTAAGCAGATTTCACTGAATTTTTAAAGAGGTAAAATAAGAACATCAATTAAATGAAAATTCTATCAGTAGAGATGGTGAGAGGACAGAGCAGAAGCATGAGGATGGGGCCTGAAATTTAGGAGGTGGAGCTTGTCTCCTGACACCTACTGTTCCGCTCCTGGGCCTGCCGGCATCCCTGGCCCCTCGCCTCCCGTCTGTGGGACGCAGGCCCACAAGCACCTCCAGGCCCTGCTCCCCGCCTGTTCTCTGCCAATGTCTTGCCTCTTCACCTTCTCTGTCCAGCACCTCATCCCTCAATAACCAGCTCCTGAGGGCCCCTCTCTAGCACCCCTCTGCTCCTGGGGGGGTGTGTCTGTGCCCAGGCCCCCCAGCACTGCCCACCTGGACTCGGTGATGTTAGCAGGGCTTCCTCTGCACACCTCCGCCTGCACGTACACCGAGCAGTTGACACGGCTCCAGTCGGGGTCACACACTGCCAGAAAGTTGGGCCGCAGGCGGCCAGTCATGTATTTGGCCAGATCTGTCAGTGACTGGCTGACTGCAGCCCCGAATAGGAATGTCCCCAGCACCTTGTAGATCGCGGCCAGGTAGTTGTTGAAGTCGGAGCGGGAGTAGAGGCGGTCCGTGTACACCAGGTAGGCCTCCCCGGCCGACACCTGCAGAGGTAGCAGCCGTGGGGTCTTCACCAGGCAGGGGCACTGGGCCTCGCTAGGTCCCACCCACTGAAAGGGGTCAGGACTCCTGGCTGCCCTGAGGTCACTGGGACCCGGGCACTCCGAAAGGGGCCCTCTTCCCCACAAACACCGCCCTGGGCAGAACTAACACCCACCCGTTCCCCCGGAGGCCCTCTGCCCTTACAAGGATGGTGGTGGCTGAGATGATGACCCCGGCCATGAGCCCGTGGGTGATGGTGTCCGGACGGTAGGGGTACCGGATGGAGTCATCTCCACAGTAGAATCCACGCTTGTACGGGGCATTCACGAGCGTCAGGATGGCAAAGGGCAGGGCGGCTGGAGGGGGCAGGAAGAAAAGGCTGGTACCACGAGGCCCCTGCCCCCGGCTGCAGGCTCCCATGGCTGAGCCCCAGGCCCACATACACAAGCTGGGTTGTCCATCCTGGTTCCCTCACCTCCTGTCCACCCGATAGCTGGGAGGAGCTTTCCTTGAGTCAGGTGGGAGGTTGCTGCCCCCATTAAAGCCCCCTGTGGTTCCCTGTCATATCAGATAAATAGCACTTCCTTCCCAGGCCCACACTCCCCACCCCCATCTCTACCCTCTCCCCTTCCTCCTGCCCTCCGCACAAAGCTGGCACATGTCACATCATTCTCGCTGCCCAGAATATCTCTGATTGACCTCCACTCACCCTCCTGACTGCTCGCTCCTGGCCCCACTCTCACAGGAGGAAATTCCCATTCTTCATGTTTCTGGCCCCTGTGTGTAACTGTGCAATTGCTGTGTGATACTTGGACCACTGCCCTCAATACACACATCCATCTATGGGCACCTGAGGGGTTGGGGGGGCCATCATGTTCAAGGCTCAGTCCCCAGAGCTGCTCCAGGCCTGGCCAAGGCCAGTGTGTCATAGGCCTCCCTGCTCACCACTCTAGGGCCAGCCAGAGATCGGGGACACACTGTGGTAAGGGGGCACTGAGATGCCTGCACCCCTGGGCTGGCCCTGAGCCAGCCACACGGTGACTGGCAGACGCAGCCAGGCCCTAGGAGCTCCGTCCAAATGCACACTCAGGAGCCACAAGCCATGACCAGGCTCTGCAAGACAGCACCACAGCACCAGAGCCCTGGGCTCCCTGCTTCCGGGGTGGGTGAAAGGGACAAACCCAGGCAGCATGCCCCTTGCCCTGGCAGGGCAGGTGACAGGTATAGAAAGGTGTGGCTTTTCTGGGGCCAGAATCCCAGAGCAGGGGAGGGTAGGGCCAACTCCTTCTTCCAAAGGCCAAATGCAAGGGCCTCCAGGACCACTCCGTGCTGGGGCTGAGTCTGAGAAAAGACTCAGTGGAGAAAATACAGAGGTCTGCTGCTTGGAGCTTAGAGGGGCTAGGAATAAAAATCATAGGGGAAGCACAGGGAAATATATACAAGATCTTGTGGTAGCTCACAGTGAAAAAAATTTGACAATGAATGTGTATGTTCATGTATAACTGAAAGATAGTGCTCTACACTGGAATTTGACACAACATTGTAAAATGACTATAACTCAATAAGGAAATGCTTTAAAATTAAATTAAATTAAATTAAAAAAAAAAACAAACAAACATAGAGGAGTCGGCTGCTGCTTCAATTTACGCCACACAGAGAAGGTGGCGTAAAGGAGGAGGCCCAGAGGTGGGCCTGGGCCCCGCTGGGAAGGGCTGGGAGTGAGGTGGGAGGCTGGGTGGCAGGGAGCAGGGGGATGCCTGCATGAGAGCTCTGCCTGCTGTGAGTGAGGGCAAGGGTGGAGGCAGACAGGCCTCTGAGAAGACTCCCAAAGTTGGGAGGAGGGGCAGGGGAAGGAGATCAAATCTCAGAAGACTGAGAAATCCAGTCAGGCCCCATCCCTGTGGGCAGGGGCCCACACGGCGTGCCCAGACCAGCGAGGTCAGCCTCCCAACCCTTCTCCCTCAGCCCCAGCCCTTTCCTCTGGAGAGTCAGCCACCCCCAGCCACTCACCCCCAGCCCCCCACCATCCGACCTGGGATTCAGGAAGCAGAGCTCAGAGCACTGGAACTGGGGCCGCCCTCTGCCTGGTACGCTCTGGCTCAGATGTCTGTGTCGCCCCCCTCCCCCGCCCCTGCCCTGGCAGACAACACCAGAGCTTCCCTGCCCTCCCACCCACCTCCAATGTCCTCAGGAGCCTGTCATCATCAAGAACTGAACTGTTCATGTACTGAAGCTTCCAGAATGGAAGCCAGGTCTGCCTGACCACCAGCACCTAGTACAGCGTCGGCACACCACCCAGTCTCAGCTCCACTTCCCCCACCGTGTGACCTCCAGCAGGTGGATGAACACCTCTGGGGTGAAACACAGGGAACTAGGGAACTGAAACTTGGTCTCATTGTCTAGAGAAGCCTTTATAAGTTTAAATTTAACCTATGTCTGAGCAGATACTTTTGCTTGAGAAATGGAAAAAGTTATCTGAAGGGAAAAGAGAACCCTGATAGATCTAATCTTGCCTGACCACACTGCTTGAGGGTCCCGCCTGCTTAACCTTGTTTTTGCAAAGTGCTCTGCTGCACAGAGCAGGAGCCAGGGGAATGAGCGGAGAAGTGAGGGCGAAAAGGGCGGCCACAAAGAGGAAAAGAAGCCACAAAGAGGAACAGATAAAAGGACCCAGCTGAGACCCCCAAGGGCGGCAGTTCCTGGTCAAGCCACTCGGGCTTATGGCTCCCCCGCTCCCCGCTCCAGCGCCTTTTCTTCTTCCCCTTGAGCAATAAAGCAGCTTTCACTCTGTCCCTCTGCCTGTGCTGCGAATCCTTTCCAGCCAGTGGGCAAGAACCCACCTTTCTGTGGGACCCCCATTCTAAAGGGGAATCTCCCATCTGCTAACAACAGCTCCTCCCTCACCAGCTATTTGGAGGAAAAGGTTTAATCATTTGCATGTTACCTAGTGCCTGGCATACAGTAAGTGCCATACATAAATGTTAAAATAAATAATAATTGCTCAGGAAGTGATGCCCAGTGTTGGCTGGCGTCCCCTGGGGGCTTCGTGCTGCCACCTGGCCCACCCCAAGGGGGTCTCTTCCAGGACCTGGGAGTAGAGCCTGACATCTGCCATCGGTCAGAGCGGCCCCGCGGGTTCCAACAGAGGAGCAGCACCAGCCAGGGGGTGGGGAGGGCAATTTAGGCTGGAGGGGCCCCTCCCGGTGCCGGGGTCATGGTCCACACGGCCTGGGAGCAGACAAACACTCAGCCTTTGTTCCCTGGGGGAGGGGCGGGGAGGGGACCTCGGGCTGCCCCCTCCCCGGCCTGGCCGCCAAACCCGCCGGACAGGTTTGGTCCGCGCCACCCCGAGTCCCCCAGTCCAACAACAGCCGGCGGCCCAGCCTTTCTTCTGCCTCTCCCAGGCCCGAGGGGAGAGGGCGGCTGGGAGCGGGTTCGAATCCCACTACCGGTGCGTCCTGGGCCAGGGTTCAGCCCTCCCTGACCCGACAGGGACTGCCGCCCGAGGGCCAGGGGTTGGAGGGCCTCCAGGCGACCCGCGGTCGCGCCACCCACCCGGCCCTCCCCAACCGGGCCACCGCCCGCGTGAATCACCGCCCTGGCCCGACCGGGCAGGGCGGGAGGGGGAGGCATGCTTGGTCCCCCGAACTCCTTCCAGACGGCGACTTCCTGACACCGACCCCCTCCGGAACCTGGGACGCGTAGGGGAAACTGAGGCCTGAGAGGGCGCAGGCAGGCGCTAGGGCACGCGGGGCGGGGGGCGCAGAGGTCGTTTCGCGGCCTGAGTGTCCCCCCAAGTTCTCCCCACCTCCAGAGGGCCTCCGAAAGGTGGAGGCGCCGCGCACCCCACCACCTGTCCTACAAACCTTCGCAGGGAGCGGGGACAGGT